AAAAAAAAAAAAAAAAAAAAAAAAAAAAAAAAGAGTTTAGGCAATGGAATCTGACAAACGTGGCTTCAAATTTAGTCACTAACTAGCATGGAATTTGGGCAAATCATTTCATAGACTCTAAACCTCAATCTGTAAAACGGGAATGGATGAGAATTTGGTCAGAGGATAAAATAAGAATGCATTCAAACACTCCCTGATGTGAGACCATCACAAGATCCCAAAGGGATAAAATTTTTGGTGATTAGCGTACACATGTGGGCCCGAGTGCTTCAAAACTGTTTGTCCTTTATATTTTCTCCACTGCCCTCTTTAAGGCATGTCTTCTTTTAAGCAAATTCAGTAATGTTTACAAAAATCTGATTTAAGAATAGTTGACTATTTATTCTTAAGTTTAAGAATAGTTATTCTCTTTTGATACAAAACATAGATTTTGTTTAAAAAAGAACAGTTATTCTTAAATCAAATTTTTAAAAAGCCACTGTAGGCTTCCCTTAAGCAACAACGAATGTGTTTCATAAAAGTGTTAACTATTAAAAGATACTACCTTCTTTGGAAGTAATAGTGAAAAGATTAAGGTTAACCCGCTTCAGGCTTCCTTTCCCTGAATATTTTCAGAGTTTATGTTTTAAGGATGCCTAGTTCTTTGGCTTTAGATAGCTATTTATAATTGCTAATTGAACGACATCTCTTGAACAGATGTATAAACAGAAAAAATTGTGGGATAGATAGAGCAGAACAGACCCACATTTCAAAGCAGCCCTATCTATGTTACATAAACCTTCCTTCCTTGAAGCAAAACAAAACATAGGGAGCCTATCAGGTCAGAGGAGAAGCACAGATAACTGAGGGAGGAGATGTATGAAGAGCTTGCCAGCTGCATGGGAAATCTGTCTTGGTTACTGGACAGACCTAGCTCTCCGACTTGGTAATTAAGATTTTTCCTGAGATCTTTTTTACTTCCTAGACTATCCTTCCCTCAAGGAATAGAAATAGCCAAAAAAAAATTGTATCTTTTCATTTAAAATTAGCATGTCAGGCTTTTTTATACGCACAGATCTTCATCTTTACTAAACAAATATATTTAAAAATATGAAATGTCACTTTATAGTTATTTTTTAAGAATGTATATATTTTAGGCCAGGCATGATGGCTCACACCTGTAATCCCACCAATTTGGGAGGCCAAGGTGGGTGGATCGCCTGAAGTCAGGAGTTCAAGACCAGCCTGACCAACATGGTGAAATCCCATCTCTACGAAAAATGCAAAAATTAGTCAGGCATGGTGGTGTGCCCCTGTAATCCCAGCTAATCGGGAGGCTGAGGTGGGAGAATTGCTTGAACCTGAGAGGCAGAGGCTGCAGTGAGCCAAGATCACTCCAGCCTGGGCAACAGAGCAAGACCCCACCGTCTCAAAAATAATAATAATAATGTATACATTTTATATTTTATACTTTAATACATCATAATTTAATAATCTTCAATTACTAACAAAGATTAGAGCTTCATTTAAGAAACAAAAGCATTATTTATCACTACCAATTACTTCCCCCAAATATATTTATAGCTGGGTACAGTGGCTTAATGCCTATAATCCCAACACTCTGGCAGGCCAAGGCAGGAGATCACTTAAGCCCAGGAGTTCCAGACCAGCCTGGGCAACATAATGAGCCATGACTGCACCACTGCATTCCAGCCTGGGGAACAGAGTGGGACCTTGTCTAATTAAAAATACATACATATGTATATAATATATATGACATATATGTATGTATATTTATCAGCTTTAATAAGTACTACTTAGGTAAACAGTACACAGAGTGCATTTTTTAGGCATTGACATGAACGGTATAAAAAGAATCAATAATAGGCTTTTTAACGACCTTAATATCCACCAAATGTCATTAAAATGTAAGGGTATTTTGGTTGTTTTTTTTTTTTTTGAGACAGGTTCTGTCACCCAGGCTGGAGTGCAGTGGCACAATATTGGCTCACTGTAGCCCCTACCTCCTGGGCTCAAGTGATCCTCTCACCTCAGCCTCCCGAGTAGCTGTCACTACAGGTGCAGGCCATCACACCTGGCCAGTGTGTGTGTGCGTGTGTGTGTACATATATGTATATATATTTGGTAGAGTCAGAATTTCACAATGTTGGTCTCCAACTCCTGGGCTCAAGTGATCCGCTCACCTTGGCCTCCCAAAGTGCTGGGATTACAGGCATGAGCCATTGCTCCTGGCCAAAATGCGGGTACTTTTTTATACACTGAAAAAGCTGCTATGTAACCTGCTCTTGTCTTCCCTGAGCTCTGTGGTTCCAGCCCTTCATGGACCATCCTTTGTGTCTACTACTAGATATCAATTCTGTGATACTTCATGCTTTGGGTATGGTTAAGCTAAAATTGTAATAATCAAATCTCACACGTCAAGGCTAACAGGGAAAATTCTATACCCTACCCCAAGAAAGTGCTAACCACATTATTCAAAGGCAAATGCAACTGAGTGTGGTGGGGTTTTCTATTCCTTAAAAGCAACAGCAGGTATTACAGAATTTTAGAAAATAAATAAATAGCAACGTCCAGGTATGCTGGCTCACAACTGTAATACCAGCACTTTGGAAGGCCAAGGCGAGCGGATCACCTGAGGTCAGGAGCTCAAGACCAGCCTGGCCAACATGGAGAAACCTCGTCTCTACTATACTAAAAATGCAAGTTAGCCGTGTGTGGTTGCACACACGCCTGCAATATCAGCTCCTCGGGAAGCTGAGGGACGAAAATCACTTGAACTTGGGAGGTGGAGGTTGCAGTGAACCGAGATCACACCACTGCACTCCAGGTTAGGTAACAGAGCAAGAGACTGTCACTCACACACACAGATACCCCCCAACACACACACACACACACACGCCAGAATATAGCTACAATACAATAATGTAAATATAATCTTTGCAGTATTAAAATGCTTACTGTACACAGAATACAGTCTCTATGGATATCCTCCAAAACATGATTTTAAATTGTTGTTTTCTGATCTTAGATTATAAAGATTTTTATACTCTTCTAAAGAAAGACAACAACAACATAGTTTCTACCAGGCACAGGATAAGAGATCATACAAATCAGAAGGAAAAAATAAACAGGAGCCGGGCGCGGTGGCTCAAGCCTGTAATCCCAGCACTTTGGGAGGCCGAGGCGGGTGGATCACGAGGTCAAGAGATCGAGACCATCCTGGTCAACATGGTGAAACCCCGTCTCTACTAAAAATACAAAAAATTAGCTGGGCATGGTGGTGCGTGCCTGTAATCCCAGCTACTCAGGAGGTTGAGGCAGGAGAATTGCCTGAACCCAGGAGGTGGAGGTTGCGGTGAGCCGAGATCACGCCATTGCACTCCAGCCTGGGTAACAAGAGTGAAACTCCGTCTCAAAAAAATAAATAAATAAATAAATAAATAAACAGGAGCTAAGACTGAAACCATATGTATCACAGGAAAGATAGGACCAGCAAGGGGAAAAAGAGAGGAATTTTTTTTTCATGTAACAAATATTGCATAAAACTATGAAAAGTCTATTTATATGGGTATGTGAACCCCAGATTGACCATGATATACAAGAAACAATGTTCACATTAACATAATAGAAACAAAAGCAACATGAGAGGCTGACAGAGAATCATAGAAAGGTTAAAAAACCCTCAAGTACATTTTCTAATTTGCTTTGAGAAGATTGCGTGCTGAAACTGTTAATTTAAAATATTAAAAACTCATGCAAAAAACCTACTTTTGAGTTATTTTGATTTAACACATTATAATTTGTGTTTATATTATTTGTTATGAGCTTCATGCAAATAAGTCCTTTACACTGGATAATAAATGTAGAGACCTTTTACCAATAACTTACCAATCCATAATTTCCAAACTGGTAACAAAACAAATCAGTTCTCTCATCTTAGCATCACAGAAACTTCATTATGTGCACATAGGGTTTTGCTTAGCCAGCCAAGGAGTCAAGTACTAGAACTGTCTTAAATAATTAAATTATTCTGTGGCATACTAATTCACTACATAAAAAGCTAATTCTAGATGAAAAACAAGAAAAGTTGATATTTGGTAACTAGGTAAATTCCACATGAAATTTAATGTTTTCATGAAAATATCCCCAAGAATTATTCCTTCTTAAAAAATTCTGGCCGGGCGTGGTGGCTCACGCCTGTAATCCAAGCACTTTGGAGGCCAAGGCGGGCGGATCACCTGAGGTCGGGAGTTCAAGACTAGCCTGACCAACATGGTGAAACCCCGTCTTAAAAAAAAAAAAAAAAAATTCTGATTTTCAAAAAAAAATTAAGACGTACTTTCTAAGGTTCATTTCTTTGTCTCAATAATAGCATGGTAATGAAAAACCTAGAAACCCACCTCAGTGTGTCTTTGATGTAATGCATTATATTCCTTCTTCAGTTCTGCTTCTCTTTCTTCAAGTCTGCTAACTGAAATTAAGATGAATACATTTGATCAAAACAAAGTAAGAAATTTACTTGAAAAAGTACATGTTTAAAACTTAGAATGGGCTATCCACAATCTTTAGCAACTTTCAGATTCAGTGTTCCATATAAAAGTCTTCACAAAGCAGTGACCTCATTTTATCACCCTTAATAATGAAAACTTTCAGAGGTGGAGACTATATCAAAATTGGTTCTCTAGTATTCCTAAATATATCAGGTCATCCCCTAAACAATTTTTTTTTTAACGTGACACAGAATTAACTCTTTCAAAAACACAAATCGCCTCATCGAAGTTTTAAGCTGGGATTAGGGCCCAACTCATTTATTTCTAACACTACTCAAGCCCTTTCTTTAGTAATGGCAGTTTGTGAAAGTTTATTGTTTATAAGTACTTTTTCTGCTTCAGGTTTCCTAAATTTCAGGGACTCATCTTCTTTTATTTATTTATTTTTTTCATCTTCTTTTATTTAGCTCCCTCTGCTGATGGGTTTTGTGAGTGGCACTGACTTGGGGTAGTGCTCATAGAGTATAACTTCAGAATATTTTTTAAAAAGTTTTATTAATAGACCCTGAGATACAGAATGTCAGGACAGAATTCCACAGAAAAGAATAACTGATAGCAAAGAGGAATGACTCAGGGAGGAGGTGGAGTCCACACAGAACTACAAAGGAAGAAATTATGGTACTTAAGACAGATGGTAATGAGAGCACTCCTGATATCATTACCACAGAGAAGGGAACACAAAACCATGCCAGCGGTGAGGCAGAGGGTGGTGGTGAGGCAGAGCGGAGACTAGCCAGCCTGGAGGAGCCCACACTTGGCTAAGGAGCAGTGGGAGACAGTCTCGAGAGCAATAAAGCTGGTGGTGCTAGCGGAGCATGTCAAGATACTCATTTACAGTATGTCAGTTGGAAAGCCTTAGCATAGCTGAAAATGTTCCCTGGGTTTGAGGGTCAGCTGGCTGCAAACAGGCAAGGCTGTGTGTAATCTACAACTGCTGACTGTGGAGGACAGCTGTAGAAGGAACTAGTATGAACTAATACTCTGACAGTAGATATATGAATGTTTTATATGCCTCCTAGTATTAACACACCAGACACCAAACAAAACATACTTTGTGCTGCCCAGAAAATTAAATTTGGGTTTGTGTCCCATAATTTGTTTAAATATCTTGAAAATATGTGATTAGGAAAACTGCTCTCTTTGTTTTGATTTGTTTCTAATTCAAGCCCATGTGTCATTGGCTCATTACATTTGCACCAAAGAGTAAATACACTACAGTACCCATGGTGCACACTTTATCATGCCACCCAAGTGCTGAGTACATCTGTTGCTCATCTTATCCTGTGGCTGAAAGCGATAATAAGCAAATTTATTATGCAGATGTGTTGTGATAAAAGAATAGATGCTAAACCATAAATTAATCCTTTTTAAATAAAATTCAATTCTATGATTTTTATTTAAAAATAGGAAATCCAAGCAAATTATGGATATTTAATAATAATTTCAAAGTAAACATTTTCTACTACTTCTTGTCATTTAAATTGATCTAAAAGCTTAAAGGAATTCTGAGACTACTGGACAAACCATATCTATTTCCAATTGTTCATCTTTGTGAATCATTCTTTTCTTGATAACGTGCAACAAAAACAAAAACTTGATGCTGACGCTAAAATAAAATCCAACTATCATTCTTAACCCTCAAGGTGAAATTTGTGTTCAATAGTGGAGCCTTATTATTCTTGTCAACTAATGATATAAAGTGTTAAGTAAATTTATATATATCACCATCACCACTACTAATAGCAACCAACATTATAAAGTGCTTATTATGTACCATACAGTCCTAAGAACTGTATATAAACTACCTTATTTGAGCCTAACATTAACTTTATGATTAAAGTATTATTATTACATCCATGGTACAGATGAAGAAACTGAAGCAAATAGGAGCTAAGCAACTCGCCCACAGTCACACAGACAGTAAATTGCAAAGCAAGGATTCCTACCAGAGTCTGGCCCCAGAATCTGTGTTCTTAATTACCATGCTATACTGGTTCTCAACAAATACTCCTTTTAATCTGTTTTGTATACTGGAGTTTACCTTAAGATTTCACTTTGGGCAGAGGGGAGTAGGCTTCAAACAAAAAACTCCTGTTCTTATGGAAATAACCCATTCACAGATACTTTGACACAAAACATCAAACTGCCAAGCAACATGTGTACCCAAGTCAGGGAGCTGCACATTAAAACCAAAATGCAACACCACCACGCTTCTGAATGGCCAGAATGAAAAACACGATACACCAAGTGCTAAACAACCCAACTGTCCATCAAGAGTAAAATGGATAAATATTCATGTGCTGGAATACTGTACAATGTGAATAAACAAATTATTGCCACACACAACATCATGGACCAATTGCACAAATATGATGTTGAAGGAAAGAAGCAGAAACAAAAGAACACAAAATTCAAGACATAATACAAAACTAATCTGAAATGTTAGAAGTCAGGATAGTAGTTACCCTGGGGAGGCTTTCTGTACAGCCCCAGCCCACCTCGACTCAAACACAATGCGCATCCATTCACACAGGCACTTTCCTCTGCTTGAATACTCATTCTTCCTTATGTTATCCAACAACGGTTATGAGTTCAACATGTAGAATGGGATTTAAACAAATTACTGAGAACCATAACAAGCTTTGCTGCTCTGACTTTAGTATTCTCAGGGAGAGAGCAAAAATGTTACCAAACAGACTGGATAAAGAAAATGTGGTGGCTCAAGCCTGAAATCCCAGCACTTTGGGAGGCCCAGCCAAGAGGACTGCTTGAGTCCAGGAGGTTGCGGCTGCAGTGAGCTGTGATCATGCCACTGCACTCCACCCAGGGTGCCAGAGCAAGACCCTGTTTCAATTTTTAAAAAGGGGCGGGGGAGCTAGCCACGGTGGCTCATACCTGTAATCCCAGCACTTTGGGAGGCCCAGGCAGGCAGATCATGAGGTCAGAAGTTCAAGACCAGCCTGGCCAATATGGTGAAACCCCGTCTCTACTAAAAATACAGAAATTAGCTGGACGTGGTGACAGGTGCCTGTAGTCCCAGCTACTTAGGAGGCTGAGGCAGGAGAATTGCTTGAACCCAGGAGGCAGATGTTGCTGTGAGCAGAGATAGTGCTACTGCACTCTAGCCTGGGTGACAAAGCAAGACTCCGTCTCAGAAGAAAAAAAAAAAGCCGTGTGTGGTGACTCACGCCTGTACTGGGAGGCCAAGGCGGGCAGATCAAGAGGTCAGGAGTTCGAGACCAGCCTGACCAACATGGTGAAACCCCGTCTCTACTAAAAATACAAAAGTTAGCTGGGCATAGTGACACGTGCCTATAATCTCAGCTATTTGGGAGGCTGAGGCAGGAGAATCGCTTGAACCTGGGAGGCAAAGGTTGCAATGAGCTGAGATTGTACCATTGCACTCCAGCCTGGGTGACAGAGTGAGACTCTGTCT